TATTGCAAATACATGTACATGTATTTAAAATGCAAAAACGACAAGCACGTTCAGAAATAAAAATAAAATAAAAAAACACTGTTTACAAGATATGAATTCGGTAGGATTTTCCATTTTCAGCATTACTATATAAGGATATTGATGGAGTCCTCTGGAATTTATTGTCTTCCTGGCATTTTGATCTATCTGGCAATATTTTACTATACAAGTATATGGCGTTGATGCTATACCGCGTGCTTTGTACGAAATCATGTCACGGAAGAGAAACGCTACCACAAAGGGATAAAGATGCGAATATGTTAGAAGGTGTAAAAATCGTCTGTGTGTGTGTTTTTTTTAAATGAAAAATGCTTTATGACTCATAACAATGATAAAAATTGCACTCGACAGTATATGATTCAATGATTATAGAAGACCAGATGTTGGATATTAGAAAACACGAAATAATGTTATATGTAGCAATTCTTCAAATTATTTTTCACACTAAAATTTATCCAAGTATTTATATTTTTTAAAAGAAGTTACACGTATTATTTCAAAAAAGCAAAACAAACAAAAAAACAAATAAAAAAATATTTCTGTCGTCATTTGTTTCCAAAAAAAAAGGGGGAAGTGAAAGCTTCTCTGGTTTCAAATGAAACCTTTGATTGACAGAACGTTCTCAATTACAAGTTTGTTGGCTGAGATTCAGGACATTTCCAGGTTTAAAAAATATGTTTCGTTATTTCTTTGACTTTACATTAAGAGGCTGTAAAAGTGTGAATAGGAATTCTGACGGAAGTCGTGCAGTAAATATATACCTTGTGGTAATGACTACATATTAAGCTTTATTTCATTGAGATATGATAGCATGGTCCACCGACTGAGGGTTTAAAGAGACTGGAGTTAAGCTGTAAATGTAGGTTTAATGTTAGTTTTAGTAGCTATCGAATAACAATCAGTTATCAATGTCCTTACTTGTACGAGTATTTCATGGTCAGAATAACAAAGCGAGATAAAACTTCAAACTTGAATAATTCGACATCATTACAAATATGATTAATACAGTAATATAATATTTATTTATTTATCATGTAACTCGCCCGTATCTAGATGATTCGCATGTGTACTGGTTTTTTTTTTTTTTTTTCGTATGTCACTTGTGAAATATACCTTGGAGTGTTTTTATTGGCTGCCGCAATGAATAATGATGCTGCGTTATGAATCGGAAAGGACGCAACAAAAAGATTGCCTCCGTTCTTCCTTAATGTATGGCTTTAAAACCTGTCATTATGTAACTTTTCTGAGTGTGCGATAAAATGTATCTGTGGCAAAGCGTCGAAAAGAAATGCTTTTTTGTCTGGGTTCCGAGTATAAATGTAAGCTTGAGATTTTAACATAAATTTTTGTTTGTCTCAGCCTCGTAAAGGAATTTGTGATTGTCTTAGCAACACAAATAAATTCATGTTTGTCTTAGCGTCGTTTGTAAATATATGTTTGTCTTAGTGTCGTACATAAATTTGTATTTGTCTTAGAATCGTACATAAATTTGTGTATGTCTCAGCCTCGTACTTGTGATTGTCTTAGTGCCGTACATAAATATGTGTTTGCCTTACTGTCGTACATAGATCTGTGTTTTTCTTAGCGTCGTAAATGAATTTGTGATTGTCTTACCAATGCAGATAAATTCATGTTTGTCGTAATGTCGTACATAAATTCATGTTTGTCTTAGTGTCGTACATAGATTTGTGTTTGTCTTAGCGTCGTACATAAATATATGTTTGTCTTAGTGTCGTACATATATTTGTGTTTGTCTTAGCGTCGTTAATGAATTTGTGATTGTCTTAGCAATGCAGATAAATTCATGTTTGTCGTAATGTCGTACATAAATTCATGTTTGTCTTGGCGTCGTACTTAGGTTTGTGTTTGTCTTAGCGTCGTACATAGTTTTGTGTTTGTCTTGGCGTCGTACATAAATATGTGTTTGCTTTTCGTATTCGTCTAAGTGTCAGATGCAAATTTTGGTTTGCCTTAGTGTCGTACATACATGTTTTGAAAATCTGTTTGTCATAGTGTCCGACATACATGCGAATGCGTTCACTTACCATCTACCACCATACATTTACAATGCATCTGTTTACCAAAATACAGCATTGGAATCTCTGTTTGCCCTTTCGAAAATAAATGCATGTTTGTCGTTGTGTCAGGCTTAAATATTTTTTATGTCTTAGTATCGGACAGAAATTTCTCTCTGTCTTAGTGTTAGACATAAATGTATCATTGTGTTAGTGTCGGACATAGATAACTGTCTGCTTTAATGTCGGACATGAATGTCTTATTGTCTTAGTGTCGGACTTAAATATCTTAGTGTCGGCCATAAATGTCTGTTTGTTTTAGTGTTCGACAGAAATTACAAGCTCAGGTGTCATATTTATCTTAAATTTGAAAAAATGTTAAAAAATAATAAAAGTGGTATATATTATGTCTAGAAAATGTTATTCTATTGCTTTCTTGGTGTGGTCTGAAAGGGTTTATGATGTCGCGTATCTATATATTTTGTCAATGATTTTATGAGTATCTTAAGGTGATTGTAGATATTCATAGTTTGATTGTTTATTGATATGTTTGTATTTTCAAACATTGATAAAGTTATTTGATCGGTTAGGCCCTTCACCCGTGCGTCTTTTGCATAATTTTCAACAGGTTCTGCAATAGTATCAAGTCCTAAACAATCTTAAGTAGTTATATGTCTACGTAGGTCCCTAACATCACTGACGAGTCCTAGAAAGACAGGGCAGCTGCATGTTCCTGTTTTATCTGTTTTGTTCTAGTTTATCTAACACTATTTTGTATAAGTTTATTTATCATTGTTTTACGTCCTATTAACAGCCAGAGTCATTTAAGGACACACCAGGTTGGGATGGTGGAGAAAAGTCGGAGTTCCCGGAGAAAAAACAGTCACCTACGGCAAGCACATATTCTGAATTAAAAGTTACTATTCATTTGTGCAGTTTTCAGCGAAAACAAAATAGACAGCAATATTATATCCTGTGCCATTTTTAATGGTATTGATCGTAATCAACTGATGAAGAGCGAGTTTTGATAGCAGAAAAGAAATAAAAAGTACGCCATATCAAACTTTAAGCCTAATATGGTAATTGACAATCAATGTACAACATGGTTGGTATTTTTATTTCGTTAAATGTTAACTAACACTTCCCTTTCTCTTGGGCATACTCCTCAAAACAAGAGACATTGTGTACATAAACGAAATGTGAAGCATATAGCAGTTCTGTATCAGTCTGTATTACATAACATCAAATCACCAGATAATGACTCTGTATTCACCTTTATCACTACAGAGATATATTAATATGCAGTAAAACGAACAGGTGGGTCATGTAAAAATATCAACATTAGCTCACTGGGGATCCATGTTAATGTTGTAACAGAAGAAAACATTCAACTAATACTGTGTGTAATTTGTCGACACGAGGATTTGTCATAACCCTTTCCTTAACATCAGACGCCGAAGGGATTTCTTAATACAGAACTACAAATACCAGGTATTGCGTGTTAACTGTATACAATTACTCAATGCGATAATCATGCAAAACTGAGAATTCCTCTATCTCTGATACATATGTACTGTACATACGACAAATGGTTCGTCACTGCATAATTTATTATGTTGACGAACACGCACCTGTTCCTTTCTTAAAGCGGAATAGCGTTGTTCTTTGATGTTAATTGTACAGCCAGTAGGTATTCAATTGTTTAATCTCCGGAAAATTGTTCAGGTGCAGGTAATTTGACGTCTACCGGAGACCTATAGAGAACTTTCAGAGAACGTCCACAGGTTCCGCATTGCCATATGTAAAGCGCTGCAATATCTATAATTTATCATAAGATTATACATAACTTTTGACATTTATTAACATTCATTCTTTGTAAGAAAAACACTCTTGTTAGTATCGAACAAATTTGCACCCTCTAGATGAAATACGATTGTCGCTTAAGGAAACGGTTTTATTTTTGTAGATAAACATTCCGGTCTTATGATATAACTAGCTGTTCCTTTATAAGAATAAAGACTTGTTAGTGTTTTATAACCTTAAGGAACCTGTTATTGATAGAACACTTTTGTCATATATACAAGAATTACTCATTAGAAGCCAAAGAGAAATCCTTCTGTGTGGCGTAGCGAGCAAACTAAATCACAAGACAAGTACTTTCACCTCATCTTTTAACGTTGTTTATGCAGAACAAAATATAAGACCCATGTCTAGAATTGTCAAACATGTTAGCTACGAGCCAGAATGAAACATCGCAAATGAATTAGGAAACACTCCAGAAAAATAAACTCGGCCCACGTGGAGTTTGTTTTTCATTGATATTTTCTCGATCCATTTTAATAAAATTTTAAGACAGAAAATCTAGAATGATTTGTGTGTGTGTGTTTCTACGACACAAGCGCTTGCAAACTGCGGAATTTATTATTATTATCTTTTTTAATCTGAGCCGTAATCTCATCAAATCTTGATTTATGCCCCTGCTGGGCTAAGGAGTCGGTAATACTGTATCAAAATCTACTGCAATGTGTGGAAGGAAAATACACTGTTAGTTTATAGTTTACAGCGCACAGAAATGAAACAAGATAAAATACCATGGCTTGTTCAACTTCTGAATGAGGTAACACAGAACGTTGACATTAGATGAAGACCTCGCGTTGCGGTTATATGTATAGATACTTCCGAATAATTCGTGTCCTCCTCCGTTTGCCGATTAATGACCAGGGAGAATTGAAGAATACTGTTTATGATAGAGATAATTTGATGATGACTATATTCAAACTTTCGTAACACGAGAAAAATCATCATCGTCCGTCTATATCCAATGCACAATCGGTATGATATCACTGTTAATCGTGACAACAGTCTGAAATACGAACCTTACAGAACAACTTATATTGTAAAACACAAGTCAAAACAATGTAGTTTAAGGGAGACACCAAGACTTACCTTTGACCCACACCAGTCTCAGCATCAGACATACTAATATCACTACTAATTCCATGTTGCAATAGCAGAATTGACGTGTTCACAGCACACTTTCAAACATAAACTACTCCTAAAACACATGTGGTTCGCGTATAAAACTTTCACATAAACATCGTTGTTGATAGTACTCCTGCGAAGCCCTCGTGTTGTCCGCTCCGTCACCACCGAGGCCGACACAGCAACTAGTGCTGTCGTCCTAATGGGGGCCTATCGAACGCCAATCAACGAACATCTGTAATGGTACGCTACACCTGTAAGCGATTTCTACTTATATTGTGTGTGAAAACAAGCTATTTCCTCTCATCTAACACTTCACATAGGTCTTTAAGGTGAATGGGCATTGACGTTAGCCTTGCCATCTTAGCCAATCGCAAGGTGCGTAACAAAGGGCATCATCGATTGATCGGTTGTAGCGGAGTTTCCCTACAGACCAGTCAGGACGATAGACAGAGGATCTTAGAGACGCGAGGAGACAGCGAACGGCTGTGAGTGATTTAACACCAAATAAAAACGGTAGGATAGGTATAATGATTGGAGCTCTACAAACCTATTTCAGTTAAGATTTCGTAGACAACGAAACAGCTAATGACAGTTATCCATCAGTTTATCAGATTTCTACCAGCTGAAGACATACCTAGTGAAGGTACATACACAGACTGTATAGGAGCGGGTATTTCGTCTAAGCACAATTTAGTTAGTGAAGGAATCAGCACAGTTTGATAGATCGTGATCACGTTTTTTGGTACAGTAATTAAATACCATTAATCTTTTAATGTGTTAATGTATTAATTCAAAGATATGTATCGATTGCTTCGCTTACAAAAGAAATCAAGCTTACAACTGCATAGGCAAGTACGTCAGTATTTGAGCTACCATTGAAGGAATTCAGGTCACTTAAAACAAGTGTGCATACGCAATCCAAATAAAGGATAGAGTGCTGGTAAATTGTTTTCATTTTTTTCAAAACTTTATTTATATTTAGAACTATGTTCTTATAACACCACTAGTATTCGTAGTAGTCACCTTCATGAGACAAATGACCAGTGTACTAGTACTGACGTACGTAGTGTAGGAGACGGCCACAATCTAATCCTCTATTGGTTGTGTTATATAACTTCTTTTCTATCAACATTTCCAACCTAAAGAAAATGTTCATATTGGAACATTTTCGTTAGGTTCAAAACGTATGTATTGATAGAAATATCATAAGTATAACCTTGTCAAGCATCGTATGAAAAGGACCAGACGTTCCAGAAGTGTAAGCGTTCTCCTAATGAATATGGCACACACTGACTATATGTACCATCAAAACCCATGATTGTCACATCCTTTACACAGTGTTATTTGTTGTCTTCGCTTTGAGGCAGTAATGCGGGTCTTTATTGTATTCATATTTCCCTTTGGAAATATGGAATTCACATAAGCGACGAGAGCCCGTATCTCTTGTCTGTCTGAATTATCCCGGCGTATTTGAGGACCTGTATATTAAATGTCGACATCACTGCATCGCTGAATTGATAGTTGCATCCGACAATCATTTTTGTTGACCTATATTATATGAAACTTAAAATCGTTGGTAAATTTGTTAACGGAATTCTAATGGAAATCGGGTGGAGCTCTTCAAAGGTTTTGCATATATAATCATACTTATCTACATTAGACTATCGTTATCAAGAAGAGATACGCTACACCCGGAATCGTTGATTTTATGCTGAAGATATATTCTAGGATAATCAAAACTTAATTATATCTCTTTATATTTATTAAAACTATAGAAATAGTAACGTTTTATAACAATTGCGATGCAACGTTGTATTGTTATGATGTAAATGCTGGATAGTTTCATCTAATCACTTTTTAAGTTATTAACGTTCTGGTTATATCATCTTACATATACCAAAAAACCCTTGGAACAAGAGTCAATGAAATATTCCGACATGCAAACATACGTGTAGTGTAACGCTTATTCTTCAACACAACGAGCCTATTTATAGATATATATATATATATATGAGAAACATGACCAGGCGTCTTTAATTCATTCTTAATATATTGTTTCTTAAAATGTATCATTCAAACTACAAGCCATATACCTACAAGCTGCAATTTTACTACTTTGAACTGCTCTGTGTTACAGCATTTGCTTACTCTTTATCTCCAAACAAGGTTGGTCAAAATGTATAGCACCTTTGAATATACATATAGAGTATGATACAACAGATTCGAATTATACAGATTCACCAAATTGTATCATACAGCTTTATCGTCCTTATAGGACTTATTGGTGGTGCTACGGGTCTAAATGTTTAAACCAGGGAGACATCTGAGGAAAAGGAAACTTAATAAAAAGAAAGGTCAAACGCTAAAAGAGGATATGCACTTGCCTCATTAGTCAATATTGTTTTGTAATTTTCACATATATGTAACTAAAAAAAGTTCAAGTATGTGTGTATTCTGAAAGGTACCAGATTAAGAATGAAGCAAAACATTGCATGCGACTGATGGTAAACATAAAGAACTATACATCCGCCAGCAGTGCCTACCATTCTGAAAACTTGTAAATGACAAGTAATAAAACTGCATCATAAAGTTTTTTCGTCCTTGTAGGACTCGTCAGTACTGCTGATTTGTTTTAAGCCAATAAGCCAAAAGACATTTCACGGGAAATATCATTTGTTTCCATCGACGCAAATCAATAATGATAATAATAACACTATATAAATGGCACAAGATTGTTTAATTTTATTTAGACCAAGTTATTTTTAAACGTTAAGTAAGTGTTAATTAAGAACTATCCACGGATCCAATTATTGTTATTTCTTTTGTGTTTACCTAAACTGCCAACGATGTCAAAGTAAGAATTAATGAAATTGGTTGTGTTACTGGATGGTATGACCACAAAAGGAAACAGTCAGGTGGGTGCTTTGTAAAATTCACCGTTATTGCAATTTTACTTCGACCGGTTTCAGCTTTAACGTTATACCCATTAACAAAATAACTTCCCATTAATTTGTCTACATACTCTATAACAAAGATTTACAATAATTTATGTATACAATCTTATCACTAATTGCTAATTAAAAACAATCCGATGCCGCTACATTTATTACTTTCAACTTTCATCTAAATATGAAGAGATGATCTTTCATGTTCTCCTAAGTCTCTCTTAGTTCATGAGCTTTGAATAAACAGCTTACTTTTATAGTGTTACAAGAAATATTTCAATATAACGGTTAATTAAATAAATTAATAATGCGTACAGTTAAAGGCATTGTGACGTCAGTATAATGGACGCATGAACGGCGACAGCTTATCGTCAAAAGGGCCGTTCAATTAGCCCCGTTTTATCAAGGAGGGATATTTAATTCTAATTTCAATCAAACAATATTCGTCATAAGACATTGCAATGCCAGGGGAATGTAAATATAATAACTGTTGTATTTTTCATGTCATTATGGTTGTAATAAATATCAAATGCTGAAGTACCTGCACATCCTAGGTATAATGATACGACAAAGACATATTTTTGGAGTGACAGTCATTATATTGGTCATAGAAGAAGGTGTATTCATTTGGGAAAGTGAAGTTCACAAGCCTTAGTACGATAAAAATTGATATTTTGGAAATCCCTTTCTCAGAACTTTCCATGGACGAATAGGCTATCAGTAAAATTTATGCGGCTAAATAGACCGACATTGATACGCTACAGCTACTTGAAAAACTTGAATATCCTACAAGACATTTTGGATGACTGTGTACGAGTAATCTTCATTTGTGTCTTAGGTACAATCTACGAGATTAGAAGTAGTAAATATTGCCAGTGGTTTTAGTCCGCGGGGTTAGCCCTACCCTGTATATGTTTTAATTCATTCGAGTTGAGTACTTTTGAAATCATCAGATACATGAAAATTATGAAATTAATTTGGTGGCTAAGTACACATTCCCAGCTAGATTTGACGTTTGCCCATCAATTTTCTTCCCCTAAGACGCCTCCTAGATTTTAAAAATTATTGCCCATAGCATCGCTGACGAGCTCCAGAAGATCAAAAAACGCTCCATGATGCAGTTCATTCATTATTTGACTCTATATGAGTTTTAATTTGTTTTGAAATGTGTTATTCACTTGTGTGTTTTGTACATTGTACAATATGCTTGAAGAAGTTACAGTAGCTTAGAAATCAATTTCAATATCAGGTACTTCCGTAACCCTACGGAAGGTTGAGCGTGGTATTCTGGGAAACCAGTTTTTGTTTGCATATGCTACTGGGATTGTTTCTCTCCTCTCTACTCAACGTAATTTTCTGATGAAGATCCTAATGCTGCAAGGTTATTTGGTACAGACTAGTTAAGATGATTTTTTTTATTTAATGTCACGATTTTCTGCATTTTTTCCACAGCTATAAATTTTGACTGATGCCTCTACTTCCTGGTTGAATTGGCCTCTTGAGCATTTCGTACAATTTAGGTTGATGTCATAAAATATCACAGATATATATAGAGCATAATCTCACGAGTATATTACAGTGTTAAATATTTTATGGATAAGATTGTTGGAAGTTTACAATCCAACATCGGTGATTTGAAGACAGTTGGTCGCTCTCCAACCTAGACATTATTTCTTCGCTGCTCCAATGTGGGATTTTTCGCCTAATTGTTACATATAAATTGTTCAATGTAGGGTTTCAATGTATTATACCAATCTTATTCAGCATATAAGGCCGAACATGAATCTGACGTGAATAACATTGAAAAATAAATATACCGTTATAATTACAGTCACTGTTGTAAATGAATTTTGTAATGCTCATTATCATTCTACGTAAAGAAATGACGTCATGAATGAAGGGCTCCTGCATAACGTCATCGCATCATACACTGCACTTCAAATTCATCCGTTTTAAATGCCTCCAAAAGATAAGGTGCGCTAGAAACTTTGCCATTATGCCGATCTTATGGTTTTCCTTGTCGGACTCTCAATAACACAAACGGTGAAATGTTGCGCTTAGAATATAAAATACAAACATATGTGAAATACAGAAAACCGGATTCTGTGGTATCAGAATGTCTATTTTGATACTATAGATATAAGTATTAACCTTAACTAGTTCTCCCTACCCTTCATCCCTTCTCCCTTACACATGTTCACCAGATCATGCACATCTCTAATGCGATTTTCGGTTAGTATGCCAAATCTGTTCCTCTTACTCCTTCCCATTCCCTAACACATATGTATACCAGATAACACATAAATCCAACACGTAATATGTCTGATTATATAACTCATGTTCCTGATAAATGTCAGCGCTTCTACGCTCTAGCCAATGCTACACGAAGTTTTATAATGTTAATAGTGATTTTTTATATATCGCTATCAAATATTTGTTGCAATGAAAAAAATGAAAAATAAAACAAATAAA